TGCTCCAGCCTCCTCTGTGCCAGGACCTCCCCACCCTCACAGGGAACAATTCTGCTTCATATCCGACCCACTGGTCTCCAAAAAGTTTGGCTTTTCCTGGCCTGGAAGGAATCCCACCGAAGCCCAGTGCTGGGGATAAGGCAGCACTCTGGGGAGTTTTTCCTTTCCCCTTCTCCCCCAGCCCAAAGACCACGGCAGCATTACCTAGATTTAACTACCCATTACACAAACTATATCTCTAAAGCGAGCGATATGGCAGCTTTATTATAAGTTTATTACATGCTAATTCAAGCAAATAAATTTGCTCCAGCTGTGGAGCAAAGGAGATTAATAACCTCGAAGATCACTTCGCTGCTTTGATGAGTTTCTTGAACAGAGTGGAGTATATTTAGGAAGAGCAACTAGATTAGTCAAAAAAACCCCTTTAATTATTAGTGACACTGTGCAAACTGCTTCCTACGAGTGGAATACCAACTACTTAACTCCCTGACCTTATTATTCAAATAAACACTCCTTATTACAGCGACATGACTTGCTCATCAGCACATCAGATCAGCTGCCTGGGCGGGGGTCTGGGGGTCCCCGCCGTGCCAGCCACCAGCTGGGCTCTGCCAGGGGTATCACCACCCAGAAGGGTTGGGAAGAGCACGCAGTGAGCAGGGAAAGGGCTTTGCTGGAATGTTCTTGGCTCCTTCCCCTGCTCAGGTGCCGGGTGTTGTTCTGCAGCTCGGTCGGATTTTTGATTTTCTGGAGCTGTTTCAGTCCGCGTGTCCCTCGGTGCTGCTGTTCTGATGTGTGGGGTGTAGAGCAGCCCTGGAGGGGGCTGGGAGCTTGTTCTTGCTGCCCTCGTGTTTAGTGGAATCTGGGGGAATTCTGCATTTGCTAGTTTGTGTTTTTGGTGGGATGCTGGAGCTGGATGAGGAGTTTTCTGCCCCTTTCACAGATGAAAAGCAGGCCAAGAAGGGCTCACAGAAATTATCACAGATATCATGAAAACGTGTCTGGGTGTTTGCCAAAAAGCAAATAATTGTCAGAGAGACTTGCCAGTGCAAGGGGTTTTACCCTGGAAGTTTTCCTGGGAGGAAGATGTTCCCTGGGGTGCTGCAGGATCTTGGAAATGGTGTTTGGAGGGGAGCAGAAAGCGAGAGCCTGGGGGGACTTTGGGAATCCCTTCCCTTCCCTTCCCTTCCCTTCCCTTCCCGCCGGGATCGGGGGATGCTCGGGGGTCTCGGAGCCCAGGGCTGTCTCTTTGTGGGTCCCCAGGCTCTGTCACCTGCCTGGGGGGACGCTGTGGGTCCAACCCTCTCGGAAAAGCAGCAAATCCAGAATATTCTCCTGCTCCTTCCCGCTCCCCTGCCTCTCTCCTGTGCCTTCAAACAGTTTCTACTCTATGTAGAGCAAGCAGAAATGATGTGTTAAATACAGCCCGGGCTAAAGCTCTGAATCAAATCAATTCCTTTTTGATTCTCCAAGCTTTTGAATCCTCAGCCCCGCCGGAGGATTGTTAGCACAAGAATGGGGCTGGAGGAGCAATCCTTCCGCAGCGCTATTGACTCAATTATTTTGCCTCTTGATTTTGTATGAGCGGCCGGCGGATGCTCTGATTGCTGATGGCAGAGCATTGTTGGGGAGCCCCGGGCTGGGGCCGAGCCCCCCGGGTGGGCTCCGCACTGCGGTGACCTTGCGGTGTCCGCCCCGCTGCCGCTCCGTGGGGAGCTCGCGTTTGCACGGTGGCACGGTGTCAACAGTGACAGCCCGGCCGCCTGGCCCCGGCTGAGCCGTGCCCGGGGAGGGTCTGGGGGTGATGCTGAGCCCGGGCCGGGGCTGCAGCCCGCCGGGTGTTCGCCCCCTTGATCATCCCCCTGGGTGTTCACCTCCTTCAGCATCCCCCTGGGTGTTCACCCCCTTCCCCATTCCCCTGGGTGTTCATCCCCTTCCCCCTGGGTGTTCGCCCCCTTGATCATCCCCCTGGGTGTTCACCTCCTTCAGCATCCCCCTGGGTCTTCATCGCCTTCCCCCTGGGTGTTCATCCCCTTCCCCATCCCCCTGGGTGTTCATCCCCATCCCCCTGGGTGTTCATCCCCTTCCCCATCCCCCTGGGTGTTCATCCCCATCCCCCTGGGTGTTCATCCCCATCCCCCTGGGTGTTCACCCCCTTCCCCTTCCCCCTGGGTGTTCACCCCCTTCCCCATCCCTCGGGGTGTTCACCCCTTCACCAGCTCAGCTCAGGCTCCTTTCCTGAGTAACTCAGCCGCTGCTGGGGCAAGGCAGGACAGGGACAGGGACAGTGACAGGACCTGGCCTGGGCTTCCCCTCCAGTCAGGAGGGTTGGGAGCTCACAGCCCAGCCTGGCTCACTTTGTCAATATCAAAAAAGAGGAATTCCCCACCCATCAAAAGGCTGTGGAAGGACGGATGGGAAGCACTTTGGATGTCTGGATGAAAGGGGCTGAGAGGAACAAACTGCTGCTTTGAAGAGGCAAAGCTCTGTATAAATCCCGAGCAGTTTTATTGGTGGCCAAAATGCATTGTGGGCTTAGAAAAGGCAAAACCAGGAACTTTCTCCTGCTTTTTATTCCTGCTGATGTTTGTGTCACACCAGAGCCCGCGCTCTGTGGACGCAGGAGGTGGCAGGTGTCACCAGGTGTCACCAGGCCGTGCAGACACTGCCAGGGCTCGTTCTGTGCCTGCTCCCATCCCCGGGAGGTGGTTAATGCACGTTCCAGCCTCCACTGGCTCTTTAACTAGTTTTTTAATCAGTAATTATTAACACAGGAGCAGTGCACGGGCTCCTGTCACCCGCTCCCGGGGCGAGTGCCACTCCAAGTGTCACAGCCACTGGCAGCAGCAGGCTGGGGCTGGAC